TTTTTTTGTTTTGCAGAGAAATTCAATTCAAAGGACCGCTGTTTTTCCTTGTGCATCTTTTCGGAATAATTCCAACGATTAAAGTTTATCCGTTCTTATTTCATACCATTATTATGGCATTGTTTGCATCACTGATTGGTCCGTTTGGAGGCTTCTTCGCCAGCGGTTTCAAGAGAGCCTTCAAAATTAAGGTACTTGGTTTTTTAAATCGACACTTGATTGTTTATGATATTTTCGGCTATTTTTTTCTTTATTTCATTTTGAGTTTTGTTCAAGTTTGTTTTCCCTTTGGTAACATTCTTATTAAATGTATGTTCTCATCACAATCCACTTAAATGATGCGATGAATTTGCTTGAGCAGAATAGTGCGTTGAAGAATTTCAGTATACGACAAGTGTGAGTTAAGAGGTAGTCATCATTGATGAACTGCGAAAATTTAACATTATTTATAATAATATTGTTACGCTCATTGCAAATATCACTTAGCAGTGTTAGAATCGATATTACTTTCATGATTCCAATCAATCGAACTTATTTTCAAGGATTTCGGTGATGTGATTCCGGGTCATGGTGGATTAATGGATCGTTTCGATTGTCAGCTATTGATGGGTACATTCGTGAACATCTACATCTTCACCTTCATCAAGTAATAATCTCAGTTTCATTAGAGTTTTATTCTCTGCTCTTGCAAATAATGTTCTGAAGAAAATTTGCATAGTAAAGAATTCCACCAAAATATAGTTATTACTGAACACAGTTGTTATCGGTGCCATTATTGTTGTCAATTTTTATTTTCGCTACGTGTTAGTTGCAGCAGTGATAATAATGATAATGTTGATAATTTTATCTGAATAATACTAATGATAACAACTTTATAAATATTCGTAGTAACAACTTTAGAACTAATAATAGTCATAATAAAAAGATATTTATAGTACCTGTAATGGATTAAATCACTATTAAAAACTTTTTTGAAGGGAGCCATCAGCTGCAAAAATTCTTCAGCAGATCAATTGGCTATCAACTGATCAACAGATGACCATATATTCAACGCTAAAGGAACATCTCGTCAGTCAAGGCTTATTGCAAGCGGCATGATGAATCACTTCTATTGCGCATGCGCTTTCTGATTCATTCCAGTTATGAATTTTAATTTCATATCCCAAATTTTCTTCCTTCATTTCTACCCGAAATCTGTGGATATTCTAAAGTCTTCTATTGAATTTTATCTTTATCTGATCCAGTGATTCGATGTGATCTGATTCATCTGTGCTGCTGCCGCAGAATGAAATTTATGCGATCAAATTGTGAAAGACGAACGAAATCCATTGGAAGTATTAGTTTACATATTGCCCTAATCAGTCGCAGTCGTAAAGTTTTATATGTACTGTAAAATTGTTTTCTGTTGAAACTTTCCGTGTGTCGAATTTTCAACCATATTTCTTGCACCTGTTACGCCTATGTTACTTGCCGTTGAGCTTAAATGATATTTTTTAAATGTGTTTCTTTTATCTCTTTTCATGTCATCTCATGCAGTCGAAAATCAATCAACTCTGATTGAAGGAGGAGTCATAATTTCACGATTTTCTCCTCGAGATTTTTGCCATCAATTTCTTTCGTTCGCTTGAATTTATTGGTGTGGAAAAATTTCAAGTATGTTCGGAAAATTTACATGAAAATAGCACTGTTATTGAGTTTATCAAAGGTTTGAATCGTCGTTCCTTTTCCGCGAACATTGTTCAAATTGCTTTGATGAGTGATTTTATGATTCTCTTCGAGTGTTTTCTCTTTGACTTATTTGTTCTTTCTTCTTACCTTTTTTTTTGTAGACTTGTATTTCTTCGTCTTTTTCGCTGTTGAATTCATCAAATTTTATTTTCTGTGTTTGTTTTTTGTGAAAATTTACATTGTTTTCTCTACGTATGAGAATGCTTATTCAGATTAGTTTTTTATCGTTATTGTTGAGTAGTGGTGTCCTGACCTTTTGCTCGCCAAATAAATTTTTTATTTGTCAACAAACATGTGCATTCGAAGAAAAAGTTCAGTTTGAAACAATGTGATATTGCTTCCAGAGAAGTAAATTCTAATTGACCCATTTATGATCTTATAACCTTCCTTGTTTTTAT